CGAATTTACATTTGGAACTATTATAATATCATTACGGGTGTAATGAAAGCGAATTATAGATACGACGTATAAGAGTATTGCAATGGTAATTCTTTTTAATTTAATGTATCATTAACGCGCAAGCGATCTGAATTGTATTGCTGGCTACCGCAATAGACGACATCCAGTATTTCGATAACGATCCTTGATGAGCATTATCGATCCCTGATCCGTTAAGATAGAATGATTGCAAAAGATTTCACGTCAAGAATGTCAAAGTGATTAAATAATGACAAGCGAACGATTCTCCCTTTTTGAGAGGAATCTTTTTATTCGAAGTAATACTGAGAGAGGTAAAGCGGATAGAAATTGGAGGGATCTAAAAGTACGATCACGAGAGGCGCACTGAGTGCTTAGAACACAGAACGAAAGAGAAAGTAAAGGACTTTGTTAAGTGTCCGAGTTCTGATCTTGATGCGTCCATGCTCATATACACACACACACACACACACACATATATATATACACACGCGCGCGCACGCTCACGTGCGCATATACACACACATACATATGCGCGATGTTACTATTACGTTATTTAAATTAACACGTTAACGATAGTATGATAATCTTTTGTTTATTTAGTTTTTAAGCGTAATAGTTATTATACCATTAGTTCTTCATCCTTTGTGTATGCGTGTACATATGTATGTATATATACACATACATATATATAGATATGTATGTACATATATATGCGCAAATCTCAATAAAAAGGTAATAAAGAAAAGAAAAAAGTGTCCATCAAAGTGTGCAGCCTCCCATTTCATTACCACTGCCATTGCGATTTACATAATGTACATGATGATAATTATATAATGACAAATAAACAATGTATAATATATACGATCTTGTTATTGTTTTTATGCGCATGTTCTTGTTCTTGATTACAGAAGGAGGGAAAGAAGGAAATTGAATAGATTGCGGTTGTTGCTTTTGCAGTTTATTTGCAATTTGTTCATATAATTGGTAACTGATTTCGGATATAACTAATACTAGAAACCTAAACAACGTATGAAACTTTATACATATCTAATTATCTTAGTAGTGCTAAGGCGACTATTTACAAGTAAACGCATTGAGCCGTTTTTCGCGATGTGTAGCACAGGTGTCGGGAAAGTTATACACATGGATTCCGTTACCTATATGCATATCGCACACATTTTTCAGAAATGTGGCCCAGGCGTCCGAAGAAGGTTTGGATCTGTCTGTGCGTTTGCGTTCAGACTTTGCCACGGAATTGTCTCTACCCACATAGTGTTTCCTCTGCTTTTTCCAACTTTCTTTTGTTAATCGTACTTTCTTTTTTCTCAAATGTTAAAAATATCACAAATTACCAAAAATAACATTGTCGATAATGATGGCTGGATTGTACGGCAAAATTTATTTCAATAGCGAATAGTATCATACATGTCTTCAAAAAAACAATCTCTTAGGAGAAAAACTTGATACACGTCAGATGTTGATAAAAGTAAAAATTTGCATAACGTGCGAAAAAAAACTGTTCAAACTTGGAACAAGATGCTTACGAGTCGATGGCAGAAGTGACATGTATATGGGAGACAAATCATTCCGAAACATTATCCAATTCCTTTTAGCACTTTTGTGAGGGATAAATAAATTAGACAAAAAAAAAGAGAGGATTGCATGCTTGCTGATAGATCAACGAAATGTGGCTGCGACGTACGCTGATATCGATAACGAGCACTGATATCGGTAATCGTAATCAGCAAGTTTTTCTTCGTGCGCTACTTTAAAGGATAATACAATCGTTGCAACTTGTGTCATTGCGACAGGACATTGTGGAAGAATATTGCAAAGTACCGCGTTCATCAATTTCAACATTTCGTGACATTAGACAATTTTGCAACGCAAACATACGTGTATATATATAAAAAAAGATTAACATGATTATGCGGCACGGACAGAAAAATTTTTCAAACATTGAAACGCGGCAATTTCTATAAGGCAAAAATCGCCGATAAAAATTATTGTGAAAAGACGGATTAACAAATATATCAGATATCAAGACATTGCAAGAGATTGCACTATACAAAATCCGTCGAAATCTCCTGAAGAACTCGTAAAGATTTTTGGCCGCAATCTTCGAACAACTGTACGGTATGTATTATACATATAATCGGGGCGTTAACGTCATCCGATGCGTCCACATTCTCAAAGAAACTGTACAATGTATAACGATCTTTCCGTTTTTTTTTTGCATAACAAAGTAGTTGAGTTATGTTATCAACAGTATCCGGTAAATAAAATGTTTCTTGAATGTTAAAGCGCATTGGATGGCATTAATGCTCTGTATGTACACCGTTTGTGTGTACAACGTTTACAAATAATCTAGACATTTTCTTAACATAAAACTAAACGTTCAATTTAGATTTAAAAATATTCTTTTAACGCCAAGAAAAAAAAAATTAATAATCATTGAATTCAAAATGCTTCATTTAACATGTTGATAATAAAATAATAAAATATTTTTGCGCGTTAACTACACAATTTTTTCTAGTAAAATCGATAGTCTCTTTTCGGCCAACTTTCGCATTGATCGCCGCATTGATTCTCCTTCGTCAGACACTATCGCATTAAATGCGTTGTTCTAAGGAAAGGAGAAAAACTTGGCGATAAATAACGATCGAATGTACAGCCACCGAAAGACAAATTTATGACGCGCTCGTTACAATATGTTAAAAAAAAAATTCTCCAAGAACATAAATTTGTATTATCGTCTGCGGAAAGTAGGAAATTGGAATTTTCCTCTCCCATATCTGAATTTTGTCATTGATTTTATAATAAGATTAGTGGAAACCAAATTTTGTGATTTTCCTGTTTCCAGCTTTCCAATAATATATGTATATAGAATGATTTGTAGAAAAAAACGAGAGAGAGAGGAAAGCACCAGTAGGAAAGTACAGCTATTGCTTGCTAAGGCGTCTATTCCTCGAACATAAAGAAATATCATTAAAAATAATGTATTAACGTACAACAGCTAAGGCTCGTTGTGGCGTTACGCGATAGCGTGTCTTCCGTCGCGCTTACAAGACGGCTTACGGAGGACTGTGCTCCGGAATGAATTGCACCGCATTAGAACCACCGTTGAAAAACAGTCATTCGCATCCGGGAGTGCCGAAATTTATATATTGATAACAATATTAAATTTCAGATTTTTCCACAGAGAAAACCGCATTGCAAAGATTGCAGGTTTTCCATATGGCTAATCAAAGAGAATTCGCTGTAGAGCAATGCTCTCGAACGCAACGCAGAGAAGAAATCGCGCAGAAAGCGCACTTAACACCATTTGATATACATGGAAGATACATGTTCGCGGCGATTTTCATATCTCATCTTTGAATAAAACAGCGGTCAAAGACATTCGCGGTAACATACATTTGCGCTCAGCAAGAAATATGACATTTTAACTTTTAACGTTACTTTCAATGTCCGGAAACGGTTCCCAAGTTTCATATCTTACTGGCGTTAAGTTGCTTTCCATCCGCGTTCATAGTTCTATCTCGGTGTGCTATCTCTCTCGATATATAATTCAGCCTATATCCTTAACGTGTTATTAAAAATCTATCTGTGTATATACAAACAATGTGTGCACACGCGCGCGCTTTGTGTGTGCCATGCCGAAGGTTGCGTCGGTACTGAGTTTGTGTCGGTGGAGAACAGCATGCAAGCATGTATCTCCATGACGCTTCGGCACTGCGCGAGGTGCTTCAACGTATTTCAGGCAATTCAGGCCGTGGGCAAGGTTGGGCCGAACGACGCGAAGGACAAGGAGTCGCCAAGAACATCAGCAGCTTGACTCATAATTGCGCGTACAAGCTCATTAGCAGTGTCAACATATAAATTTCGAAAGTTCAAATTAGAACTATACATTTGCAACTAGATTTATAATGATTTAATCAGGGTTGATAAAAAAACATGTTTTAAACGTGTTTTAAAGAGTTTAAAACATGCTTAATTGACACTTTTAATATGCTTTAAATAGATTTTTTTATAATACTGTTTAAAGCATATTTTTGAAGCATCAAAAATATTTAAGAAGAAATATAATATGTTTTATTCTTGAAAAAAAAAAACATTATCTTTACCAACCCTGCGATTTATTAAAAAAAAATAAATTTAATATAGAAAATGAAAGAAAAAGTGAGGAGAAAGAGAAAAAGAGATATTATTCCATGAAAAAGAAATTGTTATAAAGAAAGGTATCTTCTTATATTACAAAGGAAAAGGATTAAAAACTATTATATATACTGAGTTGGTTGAAATACGTGTCTATCAGCCAACTAAACTTAACTTTAAATATTGAACTGATATTATCGCATATAAATAGATTAAGCATGGTATTTAAAGAACGAAGCCTTATTTGCCAACATAAAATCGCACTGCAAAGACCGATTCTTAATTTTGCAATATCATCATATTAAAACGACAAATGATATAAAAATTTATTCATGATTCTGTGTATATGAGTCGTTGAATTAATAAAACGCGTTCTCACTAAAACTATTGCCAAACAAAATGGCCAATTAAAGAGCGGTATACATTCGCTGTGTTATTAGATATCTCGTGTGGCTGCGCGTTCAACATTGAGTCAGTGCTGTAAGTAGATTATTACCAGCATGAGTCAGACTTGCAGGCAATATATGATATGACCGAAATACCGTGCATACATTATGGCGGCATCGTCTATCATACACATTACTTAATATCATCTATTTATTGATAATAATTAATGATAATAATCTATTTATTAATAAATTTAATTTGAATCTTTAAAGTAACAACAAATTAAGGTTAAATAATAAAACTTTCAATTACAATTCCGATATTAAGTTGAAAATGTTAGTAACAATCAATTATATTTTCTAATCTTACTAACATTGTAACAACCGATTATTTTCGTTATATTCCATTTCGAAATTTAACTTTTTGTCGACCCTTGTCGTTTTAATCAATGAAATTTGGATATTTCTAAATTTTTTTGCACGTTCTTTTAAAATTTCTGTTGTGGGTCTAATGTCAATAGATAAATAGTGAAATACCACACATCCAATATACAATTTAGCCCATCTGTTTGCCCACGGTAAAAAAATCCTTCGGAGTACTTAACGTATCGGCATGCGTTTGGTCACGCGTTTTCCATCTACGAGCGCACGAGGGTAAGGCCAACGCGAGATTCACATGTGATTCCTCATCAAGCTCTGTGTGTCGTGAAGCTGACATCACCATCGCCGTTGGCGTCCTGCAGTATCGTTGGCTCGAGATATAGTACCGTCGTCTAAGTTTCCAGACCTGGCACGAGGCTGTGGAAGGTCTGTATGTCATGGAAGGCGCGGCCGCAACTCTGATTGTTGTTACGCTCGAATTTGGTAAGATCGAAATGCTCATCCAAAGACTGCAGCTCGGCCAGTCGTTCTTCCAGCGTCTTCGCCGAGTCGGCGAATCTAGAAAAGTCACAAAGCCGATCGGGATCGACTACGTCGGCCACCTCCATCATATCGGTTCCTGGTCTCGAGAGTTGCACGCTCGTGTCGTCGAGATCTCCGACGACGGGGAAAAGTACGGAATGGCAGCTTGTCGCGCTGTCAACTCCAATGCCGTTAGTCGTTGTGGAGGTGCTACTTGTGCTGATGATCGTGCTGTTCGATCGCACGTCAGCCACGCCGCCGCTCAAGCGATCCTCCGGGAAGCCCAGATGGTGATTGCCGTTATGATGTGACATCACTGCTTCTGGCTGAATTTCATCGATATGCGAGAGCAAACGTGGCGTCGGTGGCAAGATGTAGAAGTCACTGAATACGTCGTCTTGCAAGTCCAAGTCATCGTGCCTATGCCGCTTGGAATTGAGTTCGTCGTCTCTCGAATCGTCAGCCAACCTACGTTTCAAATAATGTCGACATGAGGATTAGTTTGCAAAAATTGCATTTATTCTATGATAAAAATTCGAAACAAAGAGTTATATAAAGAATTCTTTAACAGAAAATTCACACTCTAAAAAGTATCGGTATGGATCTAACTTCATGCAGTATTTATATATATAATTCTCACTACGTAGCGTTAATATTAACATCAACACGATGAGAATTATATAGACCGATGTTAAATCCACATATGATATTTTTTAGAGTACAAAAGGAAGTCCCAAATTATAATTAAAATTCTTTTAAAGTAAAATTTATGCGAAATTATTGTATGTGATCAGTGTCACACCTTTTCCTAGAAGAAGTTTCTTCGTCCGTTACATCGACGATGAGACTCCCGGCGATGTTATTTTCCTTACTAGCGTCGTCCATGTATGACGCCACTACTGGAAGTGTACCGTAACTCCGTGTCTTCTCGTCCCGATTTTCACGCTGCAGCCGTCGTACCGCGTTATTTATGAGAACCGATCGGCACAGGCTCGCTTCAGGGTCCTCGATCCTCCTCAGCTTGCCGGCGGAAATCTTGAGCAGACGGCGACGTTCCTCGCGGGCGCGATATTTAGCGGAGATCATCGTGGGTCGGCTCCTGCGGATCACCAGATCCTCCTCTAATCTCATTTTAGAATCTGCAAAATCAAAAAGGACACAGCTGTTATTACAATTGTTATTTTTACTACTATCCTTATAACTATATTATCTATTAAAGCTAAGCTTGAAGACTTGAGTGTTTTGTTGTACACCTCCAAATACACATATCTTTACATATTGCGAAAGCGATGTTTTCTCACGACGACAAAATCAAATACAAAGTACTATGCGATGTAAAACAAAACGCTACTTTATGATAAGAGTACTATATTTTTTTTATGTATGAAAGAAGTAGATGGAACTCGTGAACTTTCATCGCATCTGATATATATTTGTAAACGGACGTGTTTACAGATAATAGACAAGTGTCATTAAAAATTGTCGGTTAAAAAACCTATTGAAACTAGTTTTTAGTAATTCAACAGTCAGTCACTCGCATCAACATCTCTAAAAATATAGTAAAAATATTCAGTGAACCATAATAAATCTAAAAAAGGATATCTAAACAACATTGTCTAGGTGACCTCTTTATGATGTCTTCATGATATCTTTTAGGCATGTTGTCTGGGTGTCCAATGCTAATTTATTTTCCATTGAGCAAACAGTTTCAGTATGCAACAGTTCATTTAGTATATTTATTGTATTTCGCAAACTCATAAAGTATCTCCACAAAAGAAGATTCTATCGAACATATTATCCTTTATATGTTTTAATAGATCTTCATGATCGTTAATGTTATCTCATTACTATTTATAACTTAACAGAAATTTTTACACGCAGCATCAAAATATTTTTATGTTTGTTACAAAGAGAGAGTGGAGGGGGGGAGGGAAGAGGGGGGAGAGAAAGAGAGATTAACTCTAACGTCCCATAACGGTACACGGAGACGGTAAAACACGCAAGCGGCTTTAGAAGGCAGGTTAGCGGTACGTAAATACGCGTTTACGCACTTACGTGCAGTGCGCTCGCGTATTACGCCAATGATGGACAAGAAGTCTCTTTTTCTTTTCCCCTATCGTCATCGTCGTCGTCTGCGACTGACCCAGTTACACGGCGATGCTTCCGTCTTTCCATCGTTGTCGGAAGGGGAGAAAATACGCGTACCGTTATCACAGCGTTTTATAATCATGTCGTCGTCGTTGTCATCAACGGCGATGATGATGACGACAATGCATCGACTTGTTTCGCGAATCATTGCGCGACTCGGTAAAATCGCGTCAACGGTTGCCAGCATCGTCGATTATTTTTATTAAAAAATGTGGAAATTTCATACGTTTGATTTCTTGAATCTTTGAGATTTCTCTGATTTTTGTGCATCCAAATGTTTTCGAGAAAAGATTATTTACTCCATTCGCGTGCAAGAGCGTTAATTTTACGACGCTTAAGTCTTGACGTACATTTTCGTAACGTTGATGTTACCTTGGGCTTTTAAAGTAAAATATAGAATATTAAATATCAAGTAACAAAGGCATGAAAGGTATCTTGATACCGTTGTATTAACCCTTACGATACCAGGCACAAAACAGTGCCTTATCACCGAAAAATCCGTCGTTTATTTTTTCATCTACTTAAAATAATTAAAAAAATTTCAAAAAATTCACGGACATACTTTCAACTTTTTAGAACAAATGTTTAAATTTCATTTTGGAAAATAATATAGTATATGATTTATTCGTAGAACTTGCAAACAAAATATCTCTCGTTTCTCGATTTCATAAATTTTCAAAGAATATTTTCGTGGACAAATATGTGAAACTCATTCATTTACTTCCCAGTTATTATGAGATCATTTCCGGCTTTCAACGAGAATAAGTAATCGCGTTCGTTCGCGATCTTCGCCAATTCCCAATTTCTGATCAATTCTACACTTTCGCGTGAAAATTGTTAATCCGCCGTTCCACTGAGATTAGCTGATAGTCACGATCATCTGTTTTCTTGTAGAAAGTCTTTCTTAATAGACCTTAATAGATCGCGTACACGCCACGCACCTCAAGAAAACCGATTAGAGCGAGCGTGTCAAGGCTCGGAGATCGATTTTCATTTCATACACATCTATAAGACAAGTGCATTAGAAATTGTATCGTTAATTAACTTGCAACATTTCATTTAAAGCTTTTATGACTTGCGTCGGGTTTTCCGCTCTGTGTCATACATAAAGTTTGGAGTAACTGTTTTCTAGGAATGACCGCGTTTGAGTCACTCCGCGCGCGCGTACCCGGAAATGATCACCAAAAGCGAGGATTCGCTACGCTACTGAAAGATGTCGCGTCGTGTACTTCCCCGCGCGCTTACAAAGATGGCCATCGCGCCAAGCTGGTCGCGTCCAAGGAATTCAGTGACCGCCGCACTTGTTGCTAAACCGATCGTTCGTGTCGGAGACTTTTCGATTCTTCGACTCTACGACGGCGTGGCCAACGCGGTCACGAAAATAATTACGATCGTTTCTCGAAACTAAAACTTCAGCAAGCCTCTTCGAGCGATTTAACTATAATCATAAACGACTTTTACACGCGCGAGATTTATATTCTGTCCACTGGGCTGTCGGCAAGCAGGATCGAATAAAATACGAGAAATGCTTAACTTCTGAGACTACGTCAAAACAAGATATAATTTATATATAAAGATTTGTATATTTATAGCGAGATTCTAAATGCAAAATAAGATCAAATAAATAAATCTAGCGCGTTTCGATCATTCAGAAAATGAGGTGTCTTACCAAACCAAGTCTCGTATTTTGATGTTAGAGTTAATTTGACGAATAAAAAGATGCGATTGAAAGTCGAGGGTTATATCACAAAAATCCGAGTATTGTTGTGCGATCTTAGGAAGGAAGATTTACTCATTCTTGCAAAATACGATAGCGAGAGAAAGTAGAAAGAAAAATTCATCTAGTCTTTGTATTGTACATATAATATCGTCGAAATAATCTCAAGCAATGAAGATTATACAATGATCGTCGAATATCGAGTAGTCTATGAAAAAGTGATCGGATTTTATATAACGTATCTAAATATGAATGTGTCTGTGTAAGTAAAATTAAAAGTTAAATTATAATAAAAATATTTAACGGAAGAGAATACAGCGAAACAAGTGAAGACTATAAACTTGTCCCATAAATCCTCGCGTCTTGATCCGAGTGAAAAAAAATGCCACGCAAAACGACTTATGAGAAAGTATCAATTAATTCAAATTTTATAATCTTCCTCACACATAGAATCGAAGAGGATTAGAACGGAATAACGATACGAAATTAGGAAAAATGTTTGATTAGATAAGTAGTCCTACGAGAAAAAGAGAGAGAAAGAGAGGGGGGGAGGGGAAGGGAGAAGGGGACGCTGTACACCGAGAAGCGATTTTACGGTCGAAGTGCGCCTAGACTAACTTTCTCCGCGGGGGAAAAACCGTCATGGATACGCGTTACCTAACCTGACGCGTCAAGTCCGCCTTGCAAGCGCAAACTCTGCCTCTCCCTCCCCCTCCTTCCCCCACCCCCATCCCTTCTCCAGAGTTCTTCCTCACCCTTTCCCTTCACGACCATCGCCCATCCAACTTTCCCTTCCCCCCCCCCCCAGTCATTTATTTACATATGCTATCACATTGTAGTCATCCTGCCGATCTCGCGTACATTCCTCTTCGTCACTACTATCCTTGTTAATCTCGCTTTAATCCTACGAATCGTCTTAATGCAATAGATGAATTTTGTTTTGAATTTAAAAGGTAAATTAAATCTCCAAAATTTTAGGATTTATCGATAATGACGATACAGAGGAAGAAATTCTTTCCTTAAAGGCGTTCTGATTAAACTCAAACGTTCAGAGATCACATAACTATCATACTTTGCGTCGCAATAAGATCTGAGTCTTTACTTAAAGTTGCTCCAATTGGCAGACAGAGGATAAGCGGAATTTTGTTTTGAAATTTTATAATCCGGTTACGTTAAATAGATTTCAATTATGAAAAATTTGTATTACATTGGTATGTTTTTTTTTTACGATCGTAAACTGCGATTAACATTGCTTAAAACATAAGTAAAAGTAAATGAAATTAATGAAATCAAGTTGTGCAAGTAATTTTTAGAACTAACTTTTAAATATCCAAAGGATAATTCGCACAACTATTACTAACGCAATGTATAATAATGATATCGAGTTGTTAAACTAGTTGATTGTTCAAAGAACAATACGTGAAAAAATGTGATTCCCGACCACGTTTCATCAAGGAAGAAGCGTGCCGTGTCACGCACTGGATATTTATCATCGTCGCGTAGTCTTTGGCAATTAAACAAAGCTCAGAACTCGACTAAATTTAGATTCCCTTGTACATGCGCCTTCTTATTGACCCATCGAAACAGCATAATTAATTAACAATATTAATCTTCCAAACAAAAATGCGTTGAATCGTATTCAGAAAAATAATATCTCGTATTCTCGTGTTTTATTACTCACGTATTTATTATGAAAAAATAGAAAAGATATATATTATACGCACTCTCTAAAACTTTTAGAGTTTTACTTTTAGAATCTCACTCCGAAGAGTGAAATCTCACTTTTAAAGATCGAAAATTGAGCCACTCTTTTTCAAAACTGGCTTAATTTTCACTCTTCGGAATGTTGAGATTCCACTCCTAAAAAATTTAGAGAAAATACGTTAAATAAATGAATAATAATAACAAACTTTATTGACGTGCAAGATATAAAATTATAAATGTAAGTAGAGCAGCACTTGAAAAGCAATAATATTGTTCGTGAGCCTTATAATTATTAGATCTTATTATATTTAATTAATAGATGGAATCAAATATATATTTGATAAACTTATAATTATGAAAAATAAAAAATGAATCCAATTATATCTTCATTGTAGTTAAACGCAAAATCTATACAGGAAATGCGACATTAATATACCTATTTTCTAATAGTTTGTGTACTGCGGAATCGAATTGTTTTAAGCAATATCTCTGTGTATTCGTGGTATAAATAACACTCTGGTCATACCACTTGCCAAAAGTTAATGGCGATTTAGTAACAATGTCGATTTA